GGCCCCAATTCTGCCGAAGTGAAGGGATTGAAGATGAAAATGTTTTCCCCGACCCCTACACTTCAAGTGACAGTTACACTACTTTGATACCTCTTCAAAGAATAAACACAACCCCGCCCCCCAAATGTAACAGAACCACTCTTCAATTAATTTTATTTTGAAAAAAATAAAAACAATAATAAAAAAGAGTAGCTCTGCCCAAGTCCTCTTCCCATTACTGTGTGCAGTGTGTTCAACAGCTGGAAGGAATCACTGGCTTGGGGAGACTGAAGCTCTTTACCACCTAGGCAAGACAATCAAAAAAATAAACAAACAAAAAGCCATGTGCCAACCCATTTACGGCAGTGCAATATAAATCTGTATAAGACACCTTAATTTCTTGAACTGGAACGCAGTATATGCTTGCACAGCACAAACAGAGGTTTGACACTAGAACAACACTGCTGCTGAAAAAAAAGAAAAAATCTCTCTCTAGATTTTTATGGAATTTATTATTCACAGCAAAAAAAAGAAAAAAGGGATGGTCTTCTGCAAGATCAGGGTAACAGCACACATTTCAGATGAAAAATCCCAGTGGTGAATAGCAAGCCTTAAATTTGATAAATGATTAACTTGAAGAACTGCTAGTGCCCACAGGTATAGGATGAAGTTTCAGCATGGATCCCAAGCATTATTGCAGCCTGCCTGGCTAAACTTCAGGAAATTGTGCCCCTGTACCAGAAACTGTTGTCCAGGTTCTATAGAACATTCCGCAAGGGAACTCTTTAGATCCCCAGATAAGATGCCAACAGTGTCTTGTAAATGGAGACTGCTTGGGGCTAGTGGGTAAACACGAACACAAACTGTGAGAAGGCACTTAGGCTATGGGGCGTGGGAATAAAAGGGGAGACAACAGTGAAATGAGATTGGATTTACCAAGACAGTTGTATAAGGAAAATGCAGTTTACTTGGTAAAACCTATAGTGTATGACCACCTTTTTTTTTTTTTTTTTTTTTTTTTTTTGGTACAGTACCTCACATGCCTTTGTCAGACTCTCCAGACAAGACAGAACAAGGCAACAATACCTGGGGGGACAGGATTTTAAAAAAAAAAAAAAAAAAAAAAAAGACAAGGGCTTGCATTAAGAGACAGGATGGAAAGGTAGTAAGGCACCGTCCTAAGCCTGACCTCCAGTGGTGAGTACAGAGACTAAAATAATGCAAACTGCCATAAACATACTTGTGAACAGTGAAAAAACCTATGATACATATTCAGGACCTCTCAGATTAAACATTGCACTTAATGAAGTAAATTATAAAGAAGTCTCACTCAGCCAAAAGGAGAACTTTTGTGCCCATGAAAGCTGACATGTTCCAGCTTTAGTTTTCTGAAAACAAAGCAATTTCATGTCAGATTTGACTACCTACAGTGATACTTGTGTAGTCTTACAGAAGTTCTAAACTACCCAAAACTCCGTAATTCATTGGCTTGTACCTACAAAGTTTTCTCTTAATTTAACATATGCTTATCTTGCCATTAACTTAAGAAACTAAAGCCAACAAGCATGTAAGGTTTCTGGGCTTGTTTTACAAATGTGTTAATAAGTATGGTTTCATGAGTGTTTCAGGTGTATTCCCATGCGAGAGATGCATCGTGTCATGGCATGTAAATACAGGCATACACTTATTTGCTACTCTGGCCCCTCTGCTTTGAAAACATCTTCAAACCCCTTTATTATTTGGGAAGATTTTTGGAATTGCTGGGGAAAAAGAAAACATATCATGTTACATTAACAAGGTCAGAATTAACACACTAGGCAAAGACACTGAAAAAGTATCTAACTGTTAAAGCTTATCCTTAGGAAATCGTGTTGGGATTAAACAGAAAAACAGGAATTCAGCTGGGTGTACTTCCCAACCCCCATTTTCACAATTAAATACACATTACTGACCTGTCTGTAAATATTTATCTGCAAGTCACACTTTGTCCAGCAGATTTAAAAAAAAAAACAAAAAACCAAAACACCCAAAAAAGAAACCCATACCAGAACATAAATGAATGTACAGTTTCTTAAAAATTACTTGAAGAGCACAAAAATCAAACATTTAATTTCTCTTCAGAGCTTTTTTCTACTCCAAACCCCCATTTTGGTGTCTGTTACATAGTGAAATGACTACCAGTTTGACTGTAGAATCTTATTTTCAAAACTGGAACAAAAGCAATTTTTTATGATCACAAAACATATTTTTCCTTAGTAAAAAGTTTTTACTTACCACATATTATTAAAGCTGATAAAAGTTCGCTGGACAAAAAAGACAGAGAGGATAGTACACTCACTACTCAAGTTAGCCACCTTATTTTTTCTAGTACTTATTCATGCAATAAAGCTTTATTTAGTTTTAAAATTATTAAGAGGGAGGGAAACATTAAAATTACTACTGGATCTGCTTAGTAACAAGAGTTAGCTTACAGGTGAACAAATTGGGGAAAGGAAAATCTTACTGTAAAACTTAATTCCACTTTAAATAAACTAAGCAAATTCAATTACGCAAGACAGCTTAGAAGTCTACAAAGACTACTTTCAAAAGGCAGATCCTGCCAACCTCACCCAAGCACGACAAAAATTGATTAAAGGTGCATGCTCATAGAGGCTGCTACGCAAATTAGAACTATTTTTCATAATATGATGCATTATTTTAACACAATGGGTCTAATTTTATAAATTAGACTATAACATGCATATCAATTACTTTATTACAGTAGTCCATTTTACTCAAAATACAGAATATTTAGGAGAAAAATCTTTGTGATCTTTTACTTGAGAATAGTTTTAAATGTTCCCTTACATTTCTAATTTCCTCCAAGAAGCTGATTAAATATTCTTTGTGAACAGTATATTAAATGCAGGATATTTTCAAAGTGCAAAACCTACCTCCAAAATATTTACTACATACAGATTAACAAAAATAATGCCGTGTTTGGCAGTGCAAAGACACATACAGTGTTCTAAAGCATCCCATTGTAAAATTTATTTTAATCAAACCTTTAGTTTAACAGGGTTCGAAGATGATTAAAAATAAACCCCGCAAGATTCCACACCAAGCCTTTTTAAAAAAAGAAAAAACAAACCAAAACCAAGCCACAGCATAAATGCTGTGAACAAACCAATAAATATAAAAAACTGTTGTAGAAAGTGTATTAAGGTGATCAAAATCACAGCTATTGTCAAGAATGTTTCCTTCTGTAAAGGTTCTCAAAGTCTTAAGTGTTAAGGAATTAAAAGAAAAGTTTCATTATTCTGATATTCTAAGGTCTACAATATGACCATTTCCTCCTAATCAAAGTTAGATGTATTATCTCAGGTGACACTGGATTTAGTAATCAAACTATATATTTACAAATGGTTTTACCTGCAAAGTGTTAAATATAAAATCATGTTGTGGTGTTTTTTTTTTTAAAAACCCAACAATCCATATAGTGCTTTTTATAAATATTCAGGACTACATTCTGAATTACATAAAAATAAACATGAAAATAAATCTAAATTGCAAACTCAAATTAAGTGACCAAACAAGAAAGCTCATTCACAGTATCATTTTATTGTTTTCATTTATAATTTGCTTCCCTAAGAACAAAACAAATCTTATTTTCACACATTAGAACAGTTGTTAGCATGAACATCAGAGCAAGAAGCTTTAGTATCAGATTTTAATCTTGTCTTGCATTCCTCTTTTTTCTGTAAGAACTACTTTTCACTGATGTAAATTATTTTCTGAGTATTTTGACTTGACACTCAACATAGTCTTTCTCCTAAATGTGACTTTTGCTAACCAGCAGTACTATAACTTCATTCAACCAATCACTGATTCCACACGTATTCAAAGTCTTCTTTTTAACACTTATGACAATATATTTGCTGATACTTTTAAAATTTCATTACACTTTGTTCAAATAAAAATGGAATCAAATTGACATTTACAAAACTTAATTTTATTGAAGAAAACTCAGTGTGCTTGAATTATCAAAACAAGATCTATCAAAAAGATTCCGTCATTAAAGGACTCCAGTCAATTAGCATGATTCTAGTAACCACACTCCACATGGTTTTTAGGCATGCAAAAGTGCAGAACGGTGCTTTTGGAAAGCTTACCAAGCATTTATGTTGGTTAGATCCTTGACTGCTGCTGGGATTTCACTAAAAATTGGGTGTCCACTATTGCTTTTGGTTGGTTGGGTTTTTTTGTTTTTTTGGGGGGTTTTTTCCCCTCAGATTTTTTTTTTTTTTTGGCATTTGGTGGTTGGGTGTTTTTTTGGCATCTAACGTTCTCAATTAACTTCATCCATAGCTTTAGATTTTCTTTACAGACCTAACCTCATTCCCTTCAAACTGAATTAGGAGTTACTAGGTCCAATCTTTCAACACCTGTTTTTCAAATGGAAGCCGAATACTCTTTCAACTTTCAGTTCCTAAATTTCAGGTGTAAGAATCTAACTCGAACACCATCAAAAAGTTCTCTGTTCCTGCAAATAAGACTAAAACCAAAAATTAAGGAAAAATATTTTCTCTGCAACAGAATCTGAAAACATATTTGATAGTAGGTAAATACACATCAAGATTAACTTCATTCTGAAGTCTACAGATACAGCACCATGATTTTGTTCTGTTTATAAATCTAGCTTCCCTTTTGATTTTGCATTCATTTAGAAAATAGCACTCTCAGTAAAAGGTGAGGAAGGCTCATCTATACAGTATTTAAAATTTTAACAGATTACAGCAAGTCTACACATAACACTGCCTGTCGTGATTCCAAATTTAATTATCAAGAGGTTTATTTTTAAAAAAGTATTCAAGTTCTAAATGACTCAACCAGCACATAACAGAATTTTTATCCACTGTACAGAGATGTATTTTCAAGTAAAAGAAAAAGAATCATATCCTAGAACTATTTACCAGAGAAACAGAGAATGAAATAAATTTAAGGCAGAAGTTCGATTATATACCAAGTTAAAAGCCACCACAATATTAACTATAACTAACTTGTTCAGCTTTTAAAAATTTGCATTCATAACTATTAACTCCCATGCTGGCTAGAACTCTACTGATGTTCCAAGGAAGCCCAGCTGGAGATATGGTTAACCTCAGAGGCTAAAGCTATGCCAGAGTAAAGTCAATCTACTTGCTACTTTTTCATTATTAAACAAACTGCGCTCATTTATGTTACTAAGTTATATAAAGTATTTAGAAAGAGGAAATACGAAATATTGACAATGACAAAACAGATTTTTAAAAAGCTATCATTGAAAAAGTTAGAATACATATTCAGAGGAATTTCAATGCTTAAAAACAGATTCACATATGTTCATCCAGTTGAAGATTAGTGTATTAAAAAAAGTTAAGAAAATACTTTGTGTTTCAGTTCAACTGCACTTGATTCAAGTACAGCTTGGGGGTTGGCTGATATAAATTAAACATGGTCACTGCCTCAGCAGCCAGAAGCACAGAGAAATGTACATGTTCACAGGATAAATAGAGGTCTCTTCTTTTGGGAAAAAAACAAACAAAGCAAAAAAACCCCAAAAAGCTATCTCACTCCAATACGGGAGGTCATCCACTCCAACCCTTGGCATAATCTGAAAGATAAGAGATATTATATTGGTACTAGTTCTATTCCAACATCTTTAAAGTATTTTCTACTTGCTTTTATGTTTAAAAATATCTACTTAAAATAAGTAAAATCAGCTGGAATTGGGATTGAAATTTGAACAGAATAAATAGTGTTTTAAACTAAATCTACTTAGGCTTTAACCACAAGAAGATGGTCAAACATGCTGACATGAACATGAAACACTGAAGCTTGGCACTCCTTCAACTTTTTTCCTTGTAAATCTAAAAGACACTATTCTTAAAATATTTACTCATAAGAATACGGAACCAAATAGGTTTCTTTTTATACAGGTTTCCCATGAAGGACTGCTTACTTGAAAGCTAGACCTTTACACATTCATACTAGAAGACAAATGACAGGTACCCACACTGAATTGGTTCATGAAAAGGCAGTGTATCAAGAATTCCAAAATCCCATTAAAAAATTAAAAGTATGTTTATATTCAACACTAAGATTGTGTGGGATCTAATTTGCTTACTCACTCAATTTGCATCTCTATTTAAAAGTCTTCCATTTCAGAAGACAGGCTTTCCTTAGATGTTCTAGGGATCCAGTTACCTAGTTTATGACATCTTTATGATATGCTTTATAAAGGTAAAGGCTAACTTAGCTAGCTTCACTCACGGGGCTAATCTTCCTAAAGTTCTGTCAGACCTTCACAAGGAAGATTCAGCTCAGTGATCTAACTCTGGAAATTTTTTTATGAATTGGTCTCACTATTGTCACAGTTTTAAGTATTCTAATTACTCATATTTTTAAATAGGAAAGAAACAGCCTATGATAGCCAGTGTTTCTAAGCTAAAGTTCGTATTCATTAATTCCTACTTTCCTCCAAATGCCAACTTATTTGAAGATTTAAGTTAGTACATAAAGTAAATACTCAAAAGGGACTTTGGCAAAACTGGTAGGAGAAAAGTAGAGTAAACGCTTAGAATGAAACAATACAATTCAAAGACTCAGTGAAAACAGCCAGTTTGTTTTCACTAACACATCCCATCCTAAGGAACTGAATGCTACCAATCACTCTACAAGACATCTCCATTGTAGCATGAAGTATCTTCTAATGTGAGGAAGATGCTTTCACTTCACAAATACTCAGTTGGATTCACTATTTTTGATGTCACAAGACCACCACTATAAAGGTGGTACAACACAGCTGAAAAAACCCTCTATTACACATTAGAAGGCTGCTTTAAGAATCAAGATGAAAAATTAGCACCCTTCAAATCCTGTAAGCAAGACACTATCCATCTTGTTACAGGCATCCAAAAACGTTTTTTGATCTTTATAGACAAAGGATCCAAGGAAAGCTCAGCTTTCCATTTTAGTAATTGCTGGCATAACGTATACAAAGTTTCAAAATTAGTGATGTCACCCAGATATAAATAAAAGATTTAATATTGGTAACAATTTTGTTTTATGCCAGATCTATCTACCTCTTAATCAAAACTATGTTTTAATGCTTATAAAAAAACCCCAATCAACAACAACAAAAAAAAAAACCAAAACCAAACCACTCCAACCCCACCTCACCTTAGAAGCTTATGGCAGATCTGAATGTAAAGGAAGACAACAGTAGCTTATTTCTTTAACTACACAGACACACAAAATGAGAGGGTAGTGCACAGACACTAAATGATTATGCCAAGAGCTACATATTTGGGGGTGGTGGTGGTTTTTTTGTGATGTTGTTAGGGTTTTATTTGTGGGGGGGTTTTGGGTTTTTTTTTTTTTTTTTAAGAGTAAGCCGAAAGACTTTCATACAAATTTGGAGTTTAAGCTATGAAAAAAAAAAAAAAAATCCACAAGGTTCAATAAAGAAATGGAAAAAAAAAAAAATCAAAGCACCCCTCTGCAAAGGTCAGAAAATATGTTCTTTCAGGAAATCCACATTGGTGTCAATAGGCTTCTAAATCAGTATTCTCATTTACCATACATTACTATACTAAGCGATAAGCATTTACCCTTCTCCTGTCAAAGCACAACAAGACTGAATGTGCCATGGGTGATCCTTTATGGAGCTAAGGGTGAGGTATGTAGATATCTCAGCAGCTGTCATGCAACCTTTCATGTCCTGCTTGTTTGCAAAGATGAGAACTGCAGCCTTCTGTAAATCCTAGAAGTGATTTAGAGTATTCATAACAGTTATTATAAAGAACAGTTAATGCAATAGCCTTTTAGAAGTTCTTAAAAGAACTGTATTCAAGATAATCTACAATTACACAGCAGCACAGAGTTTTAATAGACATACTGCATTAAAAATTAATTACATTAAGACTGAAGAAACCGATTTCTTCCGAAGTGTTCTCTACCACAGAGAATCAAATTATGATGTATTATACGACTATCCTTTTGGTGTTGACCACATGTTCATATGTTAACTAATTAAAGTCTGGTTAAAACATAGTTCATAAAGATCCAAACCATCCAGACATGCAGAATTATTACTGGATAAACATTCCAAAATCTACATTAGATACTATTCAAATGGAAAAACCTGCTAGATATAATTCCCTTGAAGTTACTTTCAACTTCATTAAACAAGTTCTGTAATGATTAAAGCAGTAACAATTTAAGAAAGCTATCTAAATTCTTATAAGTTTTATCCTATTGTTCCAAAAAGGGAGTTCAAATAATGCTGCAGCAGCTTCTGTAAAAACTAAAATAAAAAGTTGTTTTGTTTCTGTGTGGAAATTAGGATTCCACAGAGCAATGAGACAAGAACCGGGTGGGATATATGGTTTTAGGAGTGCAGAAGGGTAAACAAATGCAATACTTGGGAAGCTGACAGTTGTAATTAAAAGCATTCAACACATTGAAATGTATGTTAAATTTTGAGACTATTTCGCCATCAAGAGAAAAAAAAAAAAACCAAACCTTTACGGTCCAAAGTTGAAAATTCACTCCTACGAGTAGTGCAGTCTAGGCCTACCAACTGTTTTCAAGAGATGGTAGATCACAGTCTCATAAGAATTTTTAACACTGGAAACCAATAAATTACATGGGAAAAAATTCACCACAAAATGTCATCTTTCCACCTTTTTTGGTGGGGTTTATTTGCTCCTTACTACCAGACTCAAACTACATTAATATTAACTAGAAAGTAAAAGCTTCACTCATTTGAAATAATGCAAATCTCTCAGAGAAATGAACTCCACAGAATTACTTGCACTGTACAAAATCCTTTCCCTTCAAAAATGAAGGGAGATACTTAGATTTAAAACAGCCCTAATTTAGCTTGACAGTGATCACAGAAAACTTTAATGTACATGTTAATTTAGGATGTTTGAGGGAGCTGACTCAACGTTGAACAGTCCTCAATTAAACATATTATAGTAAAACTATAAAGTAATTCAGAAGGAAACTGAACTGAAACGAATTTATCCATAGTATTAGATATGCTCCTTAATTTTAAGGAACCAGATTAAAACAAAAGAGAAATGGAATTGCCTACTTTCAAAAAATAAAAATATAACGAGAAGTTTCTTGCATTTAACAGAAATAAGAGTTAGTGTTGGAGAACAATAATACCCAGTTGAATTAATACCAAGTTTAAGATATTTTACAAGTGCAACATTTGCGAAGTAAAGAGTGATTTGATTACAATCAAGCCCTATTATAAGATTGTGTCAAAATAATTTGCCTGTATATTTATAATTTACATGGTTTTAAAATGCAACTAACATGCACGCACATTTAGGCTCAAATTTTTGTGTGACAGTATGTATTTTTGCTAACATAGGAAGCATGTAATGCTATTTGACTGTTCACAGCAAAAGAAAACTATTATCCCAACTCCCCACCATACCTCATGAGCCAGCATTCTATAAAGTTCTTCTTTTGTAATTGAAAGTCGCTCTCTATCAATGCTGTCAACAACAAGAATGATGAACTAAGGGAAAAAAACAATAGTACAGCATGTAAGTACAAAGTATGAATTATAGAAAGCATGTTTTCAAGAGACCACTACCACAAGTCTTCCTATATAAGAGGGACGTAGACTTTCGGAGCACACTAGAAAATAGAACAAGAGGTTTACCGTTACAGTCTTTTCCTAGAGCCCAGGGAAGCATACATGAAGAGTATAATTTTTTGGGGAAAGAAAGAAAAAAAGAAAAAAAAGATTGTGTTTGTACATTTCAGCACTGCTATTAAGATCTACTTTCATGCTTTATGGTTAAATCTTCTTGGTGGATTTTCAGGCCCTACGTTATAAGCAAAATAGTGATTTAAGTACCAAATGCACCTACAGATAGTGGATTATATTTAAAGTGTGGATGACAAACTTGCTACACAGTTACCAATGAAAACAGCTATTACTGTCCACTAATACTTGCATACTCAGAAAACTATAAAACTGAAATTTAAATTCCCTATTTTGAAAGAAGCATTTTTAGCAATTCAGTGTCATCTTCCTGACAAAGCTCAATAAATGTTATTTCAAATCAGTGCATCAGACCTCAGAAAGCTATGTACCTGTAGGGCTTAGCATTAAGTTATTGCACAACACCTTAACCTTTGCAAAGCAAAGGGCCTGTGCAGTTGTCCCCTCACAACTTTGCACCCTTTCACACCTAGGCACTTGGAGGTGGCTATAACAGTGATTTTACCCTTACTGTTCCTGCTAGGCACATTATTCTCATGGTTGTGCACTTGTGAATCCTGAGACACTGGGGTCTGGTACATCAGGTCTCCCATGGGAAGCAATTATCACTGGTAGGAAAATTAGTCTCTTTTACCTCACTCTTTCTGCCCCTGGTTTTGTACCTTCTATTTTATAGCCTTACACTAGAGGGGAAAAAGACATGGTATTATGCAGTAGGTAATACTCAAATACATGCTTGTAAGCATCACACAAATGGTGTGTGTACACAAACCATAACAACTGACCAGTATTTGACACTTGCCCTGCCCAGAGTGTACTCCAAGCAGCCCTAACAGTATCATAGGTGGGAACAACCAGTAGGGAGATCAAGCATGTTCTGATGAAAATTATACAGATCCCATTAAAAAAAAAAAAAAAAATTTACATGCTACACTGGAGAGGAAACCAAGCAGATCACATTCACCTAGAGACTCTTATCACTTTTCTGTCAAGATGGGAATACTTTTCCATCCCTTTTCTTTTACAGTAACTGTTTGCCCTCACCCTTGATAACTTAACCATGAGAGCTCCCTCCCATTACCTCTCCTCCCCAGATCTTGTTTCTGTAAGCCTGTCTCAACATCCATTCTGTAAGAATACAATCTGACTCTTAAAACAGAATTGCAGAATTAGCCATATTAAATTGAAAATAATTAAGACAGGTACGCGCTGAAAAGCTTGTTTGGGGGATTTTTACATTACTCCAAAAATTTTGTTCAGATTGCTTTGATTTACAGATAAAGAAAGAGAGAAAAGATATGTAATTACAAAAAAGGAGGATTAGAAGTCACTGCTATAATTCTCCAACATATGCTCCAAATTAATTTGCCTTATAAAATTAAGGAGATTCATTAACCATTGAAAATTACCACAAAGTATGAAAAAACAAGTCAATTTAATGCTGCTGTGGTTGTGAGATGTCTAGCAGATGAGGAGGAACAGTAAAGGAATTATTCATATCAGGGAGGCTCGGATTAGCATACTAAACAGATCCCTTTTCTTCCTCAACTGTTTCCAGCAGACAAAGCTTCTAAAGGGAAAGTTCTTCTTTCCAAGTGCTACAAAGCACTGGATTTTAAACCCTTACTAGTCCAAATATGATGAAGAACATCCCAAAAGGATCAAAAAAAAAACTGAATACATGCATCTGCCCAAATTCAAAGATTCTCAATGGACAAATGTCAAGAACTTAATGTACCAGATAATGCTGACAGAAGTGTCTTCACCTTCATGTGTGTCTTAGATGTAGCCATACTTTTCTAGATAAAACTAAAAATAAGTTTAAAATACCGGAGATGAAGGTTGAGATGTCATCACCAGGCTTTCAGTAGATAAAAAGTTTCTGAACATCTGAGGTGGATCACTCTAATCTCCCCTCTCTCAAAGGGGGGGGCACAAGGCAGAAAAATTCATTTTACAGGAAGATGGAATTCTTCTATAAAGAGTAGTATCTACAAGAGATCTCTACTTTTAGTAGAAATGGTAAGAAATTAAGCCCAAAATCTTTTACATCAATGTAGAAATCTCAAAGTTTGGCTACAGAGATTTTATATGCATATTGTGTTGATGAATTTTTGGCATCAAAAAGACTGGCATAAAAACCAAACCCCCAAAAGCCAACTGTTGCTGAGTTCTACTCCAACCTTTCCAGCAATGGTAGTTGTACCCGTACCTCGTGAGTACTGCATAGCTACGCTTTCTTTTATTCTTTGGATAAAAGCCACAGGCTGTTGAGCTTTCTAAATATTTGTGCCTAGAGAAAGTTTCATTCCCCGTCCTTAACTATCGTTACCTCAGAAACATTTCAGACTAGATGTACAGAAGTTAGAGAAACCACTGCAAATCCTCAACAAATTTGCAAAGCACACTGCAAAATTTTTTAACCCACTTGAAAAAAACATGCAAAAAACCTGTTTGATCTGAAATGTATTTTGATATCATTTGGCTGTCCAGGAAAAAAGTCTAACTTCTTCACAGTTTATACCACAGATTAAACAACATTACTGTAAAGTATATAGGAAAAATAATTCAAATATTACCAGAAAATTGGCTGCATACCAGAGACACCTTACACTTTTTGGATTTGTTTTTCCTCAAAAAGATTTAAAAACAATACAGCTGCAATCTTTATAAAAATCTACTGATATTCCTAATAAATAAATACAATTTCAATCAAACTTATTGAATTTAAAGATTTCAAAACAGATTCTCATACCTCTGTGTTTGAATAATAGGTATTCCATGATGACCGTAATGATTCTTGTCCTCCAATATCCCACATTAAGAAATGAGTGTTTTTCACCACTATTTCTTCTACATTGCTTCCTATGGTTGGGGAAGTATGAACCACCTCATTCATTAAGCTAGAGGAAACAGTATCACACCATAAAGACCAACCAGTAATATCCGCAAGGCTTGTCACAGCTCAATTACAACAAATGTGCTGTAGAAAAAGTAAGTACGTGTAACTCTGAAAAAAAGATTAAAAACCTAGGCATATTTCAAAAAGCTATACTTTTGATTTCTTATAGAAATAAAGCAAATATTTAAGAGCAGTTTTTTAGTAAAAAGATTAGCTCAATCTGAATTTGGATTAAACAATGTAGTTAAAGAAGTTCTAGTGTGCTTTTATAGCAGAGACTATAGTTAAAGACATCAGTAACAAAAAAAGGCTTATAACAAACGGATAAGCACCTGCATTTTAAGAGGCTTCTCTTTTTAAAGGATGCTCTTTAACAGACACTTAAAACACATTTGTTTCAAAGTAGAAGTTGCTATAAAGATCCCAAACAAGAGTAACACTAAACTGTGCAAAATATACATCAGAATGTAATTTTATTCAGAGCACTCAAGTTAGTCGCTAAATATTAAAACAAATTCCTAAGGAGTGTTTGTTTACATAGCTGAAAATTTCTCAGTTCTACCTTTAAGCTTTGTCAAAGTGCTTAGGAAAAAGGTTTTCTGGAAAACATCCTCTGCTGCCTTCATATGCAAATATACGCATAGTAATTTGGCTACACCCTCTTCCTTTTCCACGATTACAATAATAATTATGTTCTTGCCAATATTTTTTAATTTATCATAGATACTCTTGTAATGCTGGCAAGATTTGGGTGCAATGATGCTATTGAAAATACTTATGGTAGAACCTAGGCAAGATTAAATACTATTTTGAGAAATCCGCCATCACAAATTTTAGACACTGGCATCAGGAACACTTGGAAACACTTAGGGATTTTTGCAGAGTGGCTAGAATTTCCATTAATTTAGAAATCACCTTCTTCTCTGCAGGCTTTGACGGCAAAAGAATTTCCAGTTCACTTTGTGCCTGTATGTACAATTTAGTTATTTCAATTTACAGTTCAGTTTTATAACACTGCTGTTCCTTCACTTACCCTTTAAATATTTACTCTGTTTAGAACAACTAATGCCATTAATGTACAAACTATGATCTAGAGGACCTAGAGATTCCAACAGGTTACAAAGCTGAATTTTCAATGATTAAACAGTGACAGATACTAAAATGAAAACAGAAAACCAAAATATTTCATATACTTACAACTGGTAAAGAATAGTAGTCTTTCCAGCATTATCAAGTCCTACTATGATTACTTTGTGTTCTGCATATACATAAAAAAAGACAAGAATAAATTAGTGGAAACAGCAATAATTATAATTCTGGTTAATCACTTTACTGAAGGGAGTAACTGCTTGTTTGTCTTATTTCAATAGCTTACACAGACTACTGGTGACTTCAGGACAGAAAAAAAAAAGATCCACAAAGCCTCATCTTCTCTTGAGACTACAGTTTTAGGAAAAGTCACTAGGAAGTGTTCCAGTGAAGGAATCGTTACTAATATGATTACTTCATTAAAAAAAAAATATCTAGTTTTAGACAGAAAACTACAATGAAAAAATGTAACTCACAGCAGTGTATCATCTTAAGAACATCACCAAATATCCAAAGACTGCACAAAATATTAGCCTAACATTCAAGGCTCAATAATAACCATTTGTTAAGGGACCACCATCATTCGTGCAGTAAAAACTAAGAGGAAGCTGTATTTTGAATAGCACACTAAATCCAACATTGCAATTTCTGAACTGAAAAGTCACAGAATGAACGAGGTTAGAAGACACTTCTGGAAGTCATCTGGTCCAACCCCCTTGCTCAATCAAGGGGCCAGTTGCCCAGGACCATGTCCAGATGGGTTTTGCGTACCTGCAAGGATGGAGACTCCACAACCTGCCTGGGCAGCCTGTGCCAGTGCTCAGTCACCCTCACAGTGGAAAAGCCTTTCCTTACATTTAGAGGGAACCTCCTGTGTTTCAGTTGGTGCCCATTGCCTCTGATCCTGTCACTGGGCACCACTGAGAAGAGCCTGGCTCTGTCCTCTTTGCACCCTCCCTTCAAGTATTTATGTACATTAACAAGATTCCCTCTGAGCCTTTTCTCCTCCAGGCTAAACAGTCCCAGCTCTCAGCCCTTCCTCACGTGAGAGATGCTCCAGTCCCTTCATCATCCTTGTGGCCCGTCGCTAGACTCTCTCCAGTATGTCCACGTCTCTCTCGTACTGAGAGTTTTGAACTGGTCTCACCAGTGCCGAGTAGAAGGGAAAGATCACCTTCCTCAACCTGCTGGAAAGTCCAGCTGATAGAATAGCAATCTTCCAAATACTGCAATCTTATTTTTCCAGGCACAGTGGGAAAAACCCCAAACCAAACAAAACCAAGAAAAAAACCCCCAGAATTTATATGCTTCTCTGTAGTTAATCAATATAGCAGCACAGCCGATTAGAATGGTGGTTCTTCTCATACATGTGTGAAGTTAGAAGATACTGATTCGTTTGCTGACAAAAAAGCAGATCCCTTGAGAGCAGAGAATTTACAAATAGATACTAGAAGTAAAACTTGCATATAAAGTCTGTGAACAGGCTCACTTTTGAAGGGGTAATATTTAAAATTCTAGGGTACTAATTCCAAAGCAAAACATGGTTCACAGCTTAAAGATTTCCTCTAAAATACCACATTTTATCTACAAGACTTATAACAAATTACTAAAAGGTCGGGAGATCTACCATAAATATCAAATTGTTTTCTTCTTTTACCTGCAAGTGGGTGGTCTAAGGAAGAAATGAAGTGGGGTGGGGTTTTTTTTGTTTTTGTTTTTTTTTTCTAAATCTATTTACATATAATAGCCTAGGTCTTTTCATACTGAAAGTGATTTTAATAAAACAGTCTCTTCATTGGGACTTTTAGAAGTTTTGCCATGCAATACGGCCCTAATAAATTTTGAAATGTATTTCCTTGTATCGGTTCCCCTGCTACTGTATCCTGCCAACAAATGCTTAGGAAAGAACTTTTCCTGGCCTTAAAACCAGTAATACTTTTAACCCATAAGCAGCATCATCAGTAATTAAAAACCTTTCCCAATACATAAATGGTACAAAATCCTCTCTGCTTTCAACTCTAATAAACCATGCCACATAGCTAGACTGTCCACCTCTTCTTCAAATTCAGTTAAGTTGAAAGGGCTTTCACAGTTCAAACACAGAAATATTCTTCTGCTGTTTTCAAAACAGCCACATGGTCAACTATTGTCTGGAAGAAGATGACTTTACTTTTACGACACTCAGTTGGAGTGATTTTCAAGGAGAAAAAGAAAAAGAATTTCAGTCAGGCATGACATTGCTCTTTCCCACTTTCACATCAGGATTCAGTCTTACTTAGGAACGAATGAGAAAAGTGTTGGATGAAACAATATCACGCTACTTAAAGTAATGAAAAAAAAATCCCCATTGAGATGACTGTTTTTGAAAGTCACTGAAGTGTGAATGGTTCGACACTAATTGGGGAAAAAAGGCACAGCTTATTTGTGCTACTCCATAGTCAAATGGTGTTTTATACAGTAACTGAATAAGCACATACAAGAAAGTCACACAAGTGTTAATTAATGTTGGTTTGGGGATGAAGATAATAAGATGAAAGCATCAGCATCTCATACAAATAGCAGTTTCCACCTTTTATTAATGGCAGTTGCTTTCAGAAATGTCATCTGTGGTAATGGAAAACTATTCACTTACAAACACATTCAAAAGTTGAATTTCTGTCTAGTTTGGTTAGATCACAGAATTTTTACTTGTATATGTGCATTAGAGGAAAAACTTGTGAACTTAAAACCTGGCAAACTAAGACAGAATAAAATTTTATGAAGACAAATATTTGTTTACAAGAGCAACTAGTAGAAGATAGATGCTACCTTTAAGAGAAAGGATAATTATGGAGTAAACCACAAGCAGTGATTTTTGCTTATATGTGTGTTCTGTACTTACAGACTAACCCAAGTTTCTCTCTTTCAGTGGCTGGTATTCAAACTTAGTTTGGGTTGTATTCATTAGTATCTTCCCAGTCCACCGTGTTCTTGGCAAAGGAAGAAGAAAATCCATAACAAAGTTGCCAGAGCAGAAGAGCAGAGCCTTTATAAATCAGGTAGAAAGAGGGGAAAAAATAAGTAGGAAAAGTAGGAATACGCAGCTGGGGGGAAAGACAGTATGAGACTACTGTTTAAAAGAATCCAAATAATGCTGCTATATCAACCATTCCTGGCAGACTGTTTAAAAAAATATAATTTGCTTAAAAAAACCCAAAACCAAACCAAACAAAAAACCCCCCACAGTCTGGCTCTCTAGTATTACAAAATAACAGGACAGTGAAGACAGTCTTTTGCAGATGTTAGAAAGAAGACATAATATGCTCTTTTCTTCACTTACTCTTCTATATTCCTCTGTGGTAAAAGGACACAAACCTGAAGATTCAATTTTCACAACTTTCCCCTTTCCTCTTTCTAATTTTCAAAATTTTTTTTTTAAAAAAAATATTTCTAAATAATGATTAGCAAGGCTCTTCTGACATATTTGAAAGAAAAAAATGAATATTGGTACTCTTTCCAATATTTTTCAGGCTGTGAAATACAAAACCCACATCTAGTTCTGAACAACAACAGTCTTGGAGGTTTCAGGGCTGAAGATGGAATGCAGATAGAAGTTTGCTAAAGAGGAGGCAGGAGGAAGAGCATTTTACTGAAGTCCAAAGACATTTCAATTCAAGGATTCATTCTGCACAGTAAAAACTGCCTTAGAGTCTTCTTTTAAACACAAAAGAACTGCTTAAACACATCTTGTATTTCCAGACTTGATTACAAGAAAGTAGTCTTTAGTAGTCACTGGAACCAAAATCCATTTGGTTTTCCAGATAATGTTCTCTGCTAACCTGACTCTACAGTCTGGGAACTGCCAGCAAGCTTAAGTAAAGTGGAGTTACAGAAGTTCAACCACCTTGACTTAGAGCTTACCATTATTTTTCTTACGGCAGTTTTTTAACACCTATTGCATTTATTCTGAGCAACCTGAAAGACTGCAGACAACTATCTTTCAAAAAAAAAAAAAATTTGCAAACTTCTTAAAGAACTCTAATCAGACACACACACACAAAGGAATAAGGCATTGACAATTTTCATAGTTGCCTTTCTCAGGGTTGCTGACATTCACTTCTGTTTTCTCCTTACAGTTTCATTAAGCACAATCTTGATAATATTGATGGAATGATAAGCTAAACAAGTTTTATCAGCTTTGTGTTAACATAGGCAATAAGTTAGTTGCTCCACCATCTATTCATACTACTACATGTTGCTTAGAAAACTGTGCCATTTGAGTACTGAATCATAACTTAAGCCAGCCACTTTTGAAGTCTGATTTTTTTTTTTTTTTAAACATACTTTAAAAAGTTATTTTCAACATAAAATTCGACAGGCTGAGAGAGTTGGAGCTGTTCAGCCTGGAGAAAAGAAGGCTCGGGGGAGATCAAATTGCGGCTTACCAGTACCTGAAGGAGGCCTACAGGAAAGCTGGTCAGGGACTGTTTACAAGGGCAAGTAGAGATAGGATGAGGGGGAATGGCTGAAAACTGAAAGACTGTCGATTTAGATTAGATGTTAGAAAGAAATTCTTTACTGTTAGAGTGGTGAGGCACTGGAACAGGTTGCCCAGAGAGGTTGTAGAGGCCCCATCCCTGGCAGTGTTCAAGGCCAGATTGGATGAGGCTTTGGGCAACCTGGTCTAGTGGACGGTGTCCCTGCCCATGGCAAGGGGGTTGGGACTAGATGATCTTTGAGGTCCCTTCCAACCCAAACTATTCTATGACTCTATAAGTTCAATCTGAATTTATGACACTTTGTAACTAGACTTTAAATGGCTGCAGGGCACAATATTTTAAATTAAAATAATACTCAGGCAGTGGGGTTTTTTGTGAATTTTATAAATAAGGAAAAAAAATCAGGAAGCCATCATTAAGTCACCTAGGGGAAAAAAAAAGACAAAAGTCTATTTTTAAGCCAATTGTTTCGCTTGCAAGTAAAGTATTTCCGTTTCCATCATTCAATTACTACTTGATTAAGAGACAATATATATTGAGAGCTGAAAGATATAGAAATGCTTATTGTCCTCCCTCCTTCAGGCTTTAACCTCTGCCCTGAAAAGGCACAGAAACCAGAAACAAGAAGATTAAATAAAGCCCTGGAATAGTTTTGTCCACTACTACCACCACCCCAAACAAAAACAG